TTCATAATTCTCATACAGTATTACTTAGAAATACTGAATAAATATATAGATTTGATAGCCATCAGCAAGACCCATGCTAGGTGGCATGGGAAGGAGAAATAATATCTACTGAATATCCATCATATGCCTGGCACATTTGTATATTGATATAGTCATATAAAGTGAATATCCTCTGCATAATCTGATACAGTGAATAGCTCCTGTCGTTGCAAAATGGCTCTAGAACATGCTGTAACCAAATGACAGCATGAGAAATGCATGCATGGGACAGAAGAGTAACAAAAAAAGGCAAGTCCTCGTGGATCTCATCTTAAACAATATTCACACCCCAACTCCAAGCATGAAATCACACTTCAAATAGGCACAGTTAACACATTGATTAGGAAGATGTGGTCTACACAACTCAGAAATCTCTTGGCCATAAAGTTATAGAAATCTAACTCAAACTGGCTTTCAGTCAAAATAGGAATTGCTTGGCTGACAGCACTAAGAAGTTGTGAGTAGAGTGATGGCTGATCGCTGAGCATGGCTGAATCCAGAGGTCCCAATGATGCTGTGAGAATTATGATGTTTGATTCTTCTGTTCTAGAGTTTGGTTTAATTCTCACTCGGCCCTAGACAGACAACTTCGTGTTTCAGCAGGTGCCACTGGAAGACTTTTCCTGGGAAGAGTTTCACTGGACTTCAGTTAATCCCACTGACTAGTAAGACTGACTATGCTAACCACCCATATCTCAATGCTTTGCCTATCTTAAAGCAGACTAAAGCACACTCTATCTGAAGTATCTGTGTAAAGTATTAAGAAGAAATGGTTTCTCAGAAGGGAAATCAGGCTGCTGAAACCAGAACAAAGAAAAAGCAAGAACAACAGATGGAAATTACTGACCTTAATTACAGATCTTGAAGAATGTGTAGTATTTAGTTGAACAGAGATGGAACAAAATATTATAAGGATCCACAGGAAGAGGCACGAAGGAAACTAGCAATTACTCAGTTTGGATGCAGTAGTAAATAGCAGGATACCAGAGACCCAAAATTACTACTAGAAATGTAGTCAGTGAACACAAAGAGGGGAAGGAATGTATATTTGGTTTGGTAGAAATGTGGAGGCTATTCAAGTTTGCTGTTGCCATGTGAATAAACCATACCAAAATGCAATGAGTTGCTTAAAGCAGTGACATCTGTTCTTCCCACCAATCTGTGACTTGGTCAGGGCTTGCTAGAGACAGCTCATTTTAGCCTTGGTTGGTATTAGCAGAGGCACATCAAAGCCCAGAGACTCAAATCACTGGAAGGCTTGCTCATTTGCATGTCTGGCAGTTGATGTCAGCCATGAGCAGGACAGTGTCTGGGACTAGAGCTGGAATGCATTCCAGTGGCCTCTTTCTATGGTTCCTTGGCTTTCTTAGGTCATGGTGTGCTGGCTCCAAGAAATAAGTGTATGAAGGCGTCAGACAAAGCCTACATCAACGTTTATGACTGAGCCCCAAGGGAACGATTCTTGCTGTTGTGAAAGAGAACTGATTCATACTAATTTGTGGTCTTTTTAACTTTGTAATTGGCCTAAGCTCTCTGCAGACCCAAGAACACATGATTTTGGCTAAGAGACAGGACAAATAGTAAACTCGGAACAACGAGGAGATTTGCAATGCTTTTTAAATTATATTCATAGGTTAAATGCATTTTTAATGAAATCTGTGACAAAAATCAAGACTTATGACCAAAAACAGAAAAATGAAAAGATTAACTATATGACGTTAGCATTCGGTATTTTCTGCCCTTTTAAATGTAATAGTTGGCCTTAATCAACCTCTTATCAATGAGCCCAACAGGATAACAAAAATATCAATTACTAGGGAATCCATTTGGTAAGTGGATATTATTTAATCCTTATGATTCTCCCCTTAAATACATCACCTTCATTTTGTAACCAAAGAAAATAAATGTTAAATTCTCAAGATCACCTCAGATAAGTGGGATAACTGGGCCTAAAACCTCTTTTGTTCTAAGTATAATACATTGAAACACATGTTTTTTTGTCTCTGTGTGTTGTGTAGGATTCAGTAGATCTATTTCCTCAACATAGAGCTTATGTGCCATGGGATTATCAGGTGGAAGGCATAACAAAAGTTAGCTGGGCAGAAAGAGAAAGAAATTCTGTCTTGCTTCTATCTCTCAGCCACCTACGATGGATAAACAATCAAGAAGCCTTTTAATCTCATCCATTTGCTTCATTAGCAGAAACAAAGCCACATGTCTTGAAGCTTTGTTTAGTTATGTATTAATAAAACTGTTACAGAGGTTTATGCTGGAAATGTGCATTTTCTTAATAATGCATTCAAAATTAGAGAAAATACAAAATAGCATGACTGACAACTGTGCTAAAAATTCAGTATTCACTTTGGTTTATGCTATGTAGTTTTTTTGTTGTTTAGTTGTTTAATTCAATGGTTCTTTAATCTTCTTTAATCTTCAACCTATTGACTGATTTTTCCATCTCTAAAGAAAGAGCTCCACTTGGTTGTTTTTTCTCTTTTATCTTGATTTCAATAAGTATAACATTCTAATCCATCAAGACCTGTAAACTGGACTTGCATGTTTTATACAAATTCAATCACCCAGTCACCCACTTCTTACCGGATGGGCTCCCAGTTAAAGTTTTTGTAGCCATACTGAAATGTAACACTGTATCACACTCCCTAAGAAGTAATATATTCAGGTTGGGTGCAATGATGTACACCTATAATACCCCCTACTTGGGAGGCAGAAGTACGAGGATCAGGATCTCAACACCAGCCTAAGTGACAGCTAGATTCTATGCCAAAGTATAAATACAGAAAGAGATGAAAGAAAAAAGAAACAAAGTCGAAGGCATAACTGAATGAGAGAGCCCTTTCCTAACATGTGCAAGGCCTCAGCTTTGGTCTCTGATACCACAAAAAGTTAGAAGGTGGAGGACGAGACTCAGAGACACAGTGAGAGAAAAGAATATATTCTTACATTCTGACTTGTCTGTGATAATTGACTATTTTTATTTACTCTGTCATACTGTAGCATACGGGCAACTAAGTTATCTAAAAACTGTAATAAAAACATATATTTAGATGTAAAGATTTCATTCCAAAGGAAAACTCAAAGACATTGTCCAAAATAAGAGTATAAAACCCTCATAATTAACCAGATTATCCAACATGTAGTACTAGAACTTCCCTTACCACATGCAAACCCCATTTCAATTTTATCAGAGATAGATGGTGGAAAAAAAATAATGGAAGAAAACTTTCCCTTTTTAAGGACACCAGTTGTATTGGATTAGGAGACTGAACTACCCAGTCTGACCTCATTTAACTGCCCTGTTTCCAACAGCAGCCACTTTCTGAGGTGATGAAAATTCATTTCACCTCATTGCAGAGCCTCAGAACATACAAAGTGCAATTCAATGCTGTTCAACTCATTCAGTATGGAAGGGAGCTATAGACTGCATGTTTAGAGCCCTGCACAATTCATATAGTGAGATTGTCCTCATGAATGAAATTGATGTCCTTATCACAGGGACTCCATAGTGTACTCTTACTCCTTTCTTCCATTTGAGATCTCAGGAAGACAGTGGCCACTGCGAGCCAGGACACTGACTGCCACACGCCTTCTCTTGGGCTTCCAAGTCCCCAGAACTATGAGAATGAATGGATACATCCATATATCCATGCCACCTGGTCTGCAGCATTCTACTGTGTGCCTGGAATTGCTTAAGACCATGGGAGAGCCAGTCCCTCCATTTCCACATGTCATAGTCCAGGCACTCCTCCCCTCGGCCTTCCAGCCTGATTCCTATGCTCTTCGTCCCTCATCCTGCTGGCCTCTCCCCGCATTCCTTTCCCTATTTACTAGCCCACTGGACAGGCCAGGGGAAAGATTCTCAGTCACTTTTACTGAGCCTTAATGTGTTATTTTCTACGGTTCGTTTTTCTACTTCAGTCTATTCACTGATTCTTTTCAAGAATTATTTTGTGCAATTTGAGCTTATTTCAGTTAAGTTCAATTTGCTTTCAACTGACTGTTTGGTAACTCACTGTCTCTTAATCTGCCTTTACAGATTAAGTTCATTTCTGAAGCTTGCGGTGATAAGTGATTTCTCAGGCCGATTGTGATTCGCATTTACCCTGCACAACTCACTCACACTGGCTTCCATTCTCAGTGCAAGGTCCTCACTGCCCCTTGCCTGTCAGGTCCCCTCTGCTCTCTTATTGTTTCTGTTGTTCTGACACCAGGATTCTTTGAGACATTATAAGCCAAATTCACTCCAACCTCTGTGGTTGACACGATTATACACCTTGAGAACTCAATTTATTTCTCCCAAGGATCTTGTAGCAAACTAAATTGACAAACATCATGGTTCATTCTGTTCTCCTCTCTTTGGCCTCATATCTAGGAAAATCTTAACTTTCATCTTCCCATTCTTTTAGATTCATATTGGGAGTCAAAAGTCTCAGATGGAATGTGGACCGCTTTTCCCTAGTAAATTCTCCATTAGCCTCAATATTCCTCAAAGGTTTCCACAAAAATGTTTTTCAGGTGGAATCTTCCTAATTTATATGACATTATTATAGAGAGTGACACTTAGCAAATTAGCAAGAACCTGTCTCAAAATAAACACAAAAGAGACTAGAGGCATAGCTCAGTGAAAAGGCTCTGAGCAAAATTCCCAGTACCTAATTTTAAAAAAGAGTAGATTTGAGAAAGTAATAGACAACAACCAAAATTTTACTTGACATAGGATGGAATAGAGTAGCACAATACAAAATGAGGAATATATGCTAAGCATTAAGGACTTGGCCTGGAAGGGAAGGCCAGAGGCACTGTAGTTAAAAACAAACTTTTAAAAAGGCTTGAAAAGATTATATCAATAAAAGACATTGATATAATTTCCTTCCTAGTGATTTTTGCAGACAGGCCAAAACTCTTCAGAATTCATGGCTTAAACCCACTAGGGTAACACATACCTGCAATTCCAACTTGTTTGGAGGCTGAGGCAGAAATATCATGAGTTCAAGGCCAGATTCGGCAGGCTAGGGAGACCCTATCCGGAGACAGAAAAGAGAAATCAGATCCATGATGTCTCTAAATCACTAGAGGAGGAGTCCTGCTGGGCTGCATGCTCTCAGCACTGGCTGTATGTTAGCTAGGGAGTTTCAAAACATACTGATCTTCCCCACTACTGAAATTCCAACTCAGTGTTCGGCTTTGAGGCTCAGGAAAGAGTATGTTTGAAAACTCCCCAAGTGGCTCCAACTGAGACATCCTTTTCTTGGGAAAGAACCAAACTTTATAACACACAGCAGTGGTCCTCTAAGATCCTCTGCAAAGAAGAGGTTGTGTGAAGGCTGAGAACCCTTGGTAGTACAGATGTCTCATGGCATCTCCCAAGGTTCATTTCCTTTCTAAATACCCTATAGAAGCCCCATAGGAAAAAGCTGCGTGTGCTTTGTGTTAATCACACCGAGTAACACAGCCTGTCTTGACACTTTCCCACTGCTGTCTTTCACTTTCCAGATTCCTGCTCTTTCTGTTTCCAAAGGTCACTCTAAGCAAGTGTCAAAACATTCAATCTTCATATAGTTTTGTCTATGGTATTATAATAATATCTATCTAACAAATGTTTATGAGACATATCAGATATATCTCCCATGGAAGACAGAACGTCCATATTTTGTCAGGTGTGATTTTTCATGACTCATAGGTCCAGCACTAGGACTGGAGAAGACAGGAAAGAGTGGATTCTCATAGCCCCAGCCATGATGCATATGGGGTCAGTCCCCTCAATCCCCAAATGCCCAGGGCACAGGAGCAAGAGGTTCACATGTCAAGGAATAAAAAAGACCTAAATTCAACTTCATTGACTCTTTTTTATTATTATTTTTAAAGAGAATAAAACAGAATGAAGTAGATCAGAACAAAACAATGCAAGCAACACAGCACTTCCAAATTACACAACAGTGGTTACCATAATGTCTCTTGTTTTCTTCAAAATAGTTGTCCATATCTTCACACACAATGAATTCAAACAAGAGAAAAATAGTATAAAATATCTCAAAACAAAAGAATGAAAGCATTACAGATCTTCAAAACCAGACAATAGGAAAATCAACAACCGCTACCATAATGTTCTTTTCATAATAGCTGTCCATGCTTTCACACATATTGAAATTTAATAATACAAAACAGACTAAAACCAATCAAAACAAAGAATAAAAGTATTACTGGACTTCAAAACAAGACGATAGGTAAGCAGCAATGGCTATCATAATGTCTCCTTTTCTTCAAAGTAGCTGTTTCATATCGTCACATGTAATAAAATCAATTCTTGTAAACTCCTTAGGAGAAGTTTGAGGAATGAATAAGTCTACATATGTATATCTATCTCTTCTGTATTGAAGGGAAAAGCAAAAACAAAACAAAACAAATTATGAGAAAAACAATAAATGAATGGACAATTAAGTAACGATTACAAAGAGCCAAAAACAATGACACTACAGGCTTTCAGAACAAGGTGGTAGAAACATAACTAACATTGTTATTTTGCATAGTTATCTTCAAAAGTACTCGGATTACCACATATAAACATGCAAAATTGATCTAATCTTATGAATGCTGTTTTGTTCCAAGAACTAATAGAATTTGTAGCACATCCTATCTTAAGTGTGTATATACAAAATTATATCTTTTTGTTTTCCCTTCTTTTTCTCCTTTCCCCGAGTTATTTTTCCCCCTTGAGCAATTTCTTATGCTCTCACAATATTTATTGAAGATTTTGTATCTTATTTATTCTTTCAATTTCTTATTCTAGGGAGACAATATAGTATTTACACCTTGAGTTTGATTTATTTCACTTATGAGTATGGTGTCAAGTTGCATCCATTTACTATAAAAGCCTCAATGGGATCCTTCTTTATAGGTGAGTGGTACTCCATTGTATAAAAATATCACATTTTTTTTTAACCATTCCTGAGCTGATGAGCACTGAGGTTGTTTCCAAGATCTGGCTATTACAAATCGTGCTGCTATAAACATGGGTGCACATATCACTGTGATTTGATGTTCTCAGTTCTTTTGGGAATATGCCCAGATGTGGAATAGCTGGGTCAAATGGGATTTCCAATTCGGGCTTTTTGAGGAACCTCCACGCTGATTTCCATAGTGGTTGCACCAGTCTACTCTCTCACCAACAGGGCAAAAGAGCTCCTTTTTCCCCACAACCTCTCCAGCACTTATTGTTGGTGATTTTCTTGATCTCTGCCATTCTTTCCGGACTGAGATGGAATCTCAGTGTGGTTTTAACTTGTATTTCTCTAAAGACCAGTGCTGATAAGCATTTTTTCATGTATTTGTATGCCATTTATATTTCTTCAGCTGAGAAATGTATATTCATCTCAAGTGGTCATTTTTTGATTGGGTTTTTGAATTTTGGGGGTCTGATTTTTAAGAAATTAATTATATGTTCTAGATAGAACTCTTTTGTCTGAGGGAGAGTTCACTAAGATTTTTTCCCAATTTGTGGGTTTTCTTTTTACTATGTTGGAGATTTCTTTTGACATGCAAAAACTCTTAATAAGACTAGATTCCAGTTACTAATTCTGGGAAATATTTCCCATGTAGTTTGAATTTTGTTCATGAATTCTCTGCCTACTCCTATGTCTTCAAGAGTTCTACCTACTTTGTCTTCCAGTAGATTTAGTATTTCTGTTTTAATATTTAGATCTTTGACTTTAGTTGAGTACATAGTGATAGGCATGGGTCTAGTTTTAGTTTTCGGCATATGGAGAGCCAGTTTTTCCACCACCATTTATTAAAGAGGCTGTCTTTCTCCCAGTGAACATGTTTGGTCCCTTTATCAAGATAAGGTTGCTGAGTGTGTTTGCAGTTGTGGTTGTATCTTCTAATCTATTCCATTGATCTTCAGGCCTGTTTTTATTCCAGTACCATGCTGATTTTACAACTTTGAAGTATAACTTCAAGTCAGGCATTGAGATGCCGCCTGCCTTGCCTTTGTGCCCCAGAATTTCCTTTGCTGTTCGAGGTCTCTTCTGGTTCCAGATGAATCTTAGGAATCATTTCTCTAGATCTGTGAGGAATGGTAATGATATTTTGATTGGAATTGCATTAAATCTGTATAACAATGTTGGGGAAAATGGTCATTTTCACAATATTTGTTCTTCCTATTAATGAAAAAAGAATCTCTTTCCATTTTCTGAGATCCTATTACATTTCTTATTTCAGGGCATTATAATTTTCACTGAATAGATCTTTTATTTCCTTTGTTAGATTGATTTCTAAGTGTTTCATTTTTTTGGATACTATTGTGAAGGATATGGCTTCTCTTATTTCTCTCTCAGTAAATTTGTTGCTTGCATATAGGAATGCTATTGATTTTTGAGTGTTGACTTGTATCCACTTATATGACTGAATTTTATTATAGCTATTCTTTCAATGGAATTTTGGAGGTCTTCTATGTAGAGTATCATGTCATCCTCAAATAATGATAATTTAACTTCTTCTTTTCCTACCCTTATTCCTTTTATTTCTCTCTTTTATCTAATTGCTCTGGATAATATTTTCAGTACTAGATTGAACAGGATAATGGTGATAATGGGCATCCTTGTCTTGTTCCTGAGCTTAGAGTAAATGCTTTCAGTTTTTGACCCTTTAATATGTTGCTGGCCTTTCATATGTCATAGATGGATTTTATCAGATTGAGGTAAAGACCATCTATTCTGATTTTCTGTAGAGTACTTATCATGAATGAGTGTTAGACCTTATCAAAACCTTTTTTTTTTGCATCTATTGAAATGATCATGTGATTCATATCTTTGGCTCTATTGATAGGGTACATTATGCTTATTGATTTGTGTATGTTGAACCATCCCTGAATTCCTGGGATGAATTCCACTTGGTCCCACTGTAAGATCTTCTTGATGATTGGCTGCATTGTGTTTGCCAGTATTTTATTGAGAAATTTTGCATCTATGTTCACTTTGGAGATAGGCTTATATTTCTCTTTTTTGGTTGGGTCTTTCTCCGGTTTTGGTACTGTTTTCCAGGAATGAGTTAGGAAGAATTGCTTCCCTTTCATTTTGACTGAAGAGCTTGCAGAATGTTGGAATTAAGTCTTCCTTGAATTCCTTGTTGAATACAGCAGTGAACTGATCAGGACCTGGGCTTTTCTTTGTTGGTAAAATTTTAATTACATTTTCAATTTCATTAACTGAAATTGGGTTATTCAGCAGTTTTACACCTTCTTAATCCAGTTTTGGTAATTCATGTGTTTCTAGCAATCTGTCCATTTTTTTCTGTTTTGCTGAACCTATGAGAGTAAAGGTTTTTAAAGTAGGTATTAATGATCTTCTGTATTTCCACAGGATCTGTAGTGATTATACCCTTTTCATTCCTTGATGCTTGAATTTGAGATTTTTCTTTCCTATTTTGTAATAAAGTTGGCTAAGGGCTTATCATTTTTTTATTCTTTCTTTTTTTAAAAATTTTATTTAAAGAAAAAAACAAAACAGTACAAGTAATACAGAATTTCAAAAAAATAAACAGTAAGAAATCACTGGTTAATAGATTTCATATTATCATCTTAGAAGTAGTTGTTCAAGCTACAAAATTAAAGCATACAAAGTGGACATTCAAACAGTGAGACTGCAAACAGTTGTGTTGAGTGATCTAACAAAAACTTAGTAATATAGTCATCTATCTTACACACCTAAATACACTTGCAGTTGTATCCTTTAGAACGCTTTCTTTTCCTCTCTTTTTTACAATAACATTTACACATTTTTGGTTTTGTTACTCCCACAGTTCTTATTACTTTGGGTTTTTTTTTTTTTTTTGGAAGAGAATAAAACTGAATATGGCGAAACAAAGCAGTCAGTAAAACAAAGGATGGACATAGTACATGATGTAAAAACAGAATACAAGGTGATCAACAATGGTTACCATAATGTCTCTTGTTACCTTAAAAATAATTGCCTATATCATCAGGTATAATAAAATTGAACCAAACAGTACAGAACAAAATCAATAAAACCTAAACATTGGAGACTACAGGACTTCAAAAGAAGATAATAGTCAAACCAGAATGAGCATCATAGTGAATCTTACTACCTTCAAAGTAGTTGCCTATACTCTCAAACTTGCTACTATCAAACAGAACAGAATAGAGTAAAATCAGTCAAAACAAGATGGTGAGAGCAATACAGGGCCTCAAATCAAGTTAATAGGAAATCAAAAAAGTTACTATAATATATCTTGCTAATTTTTTTAATTTTTCCCTTAATTAAAAAAATAATAATAAAATAAATAATTTTTTAAAAAGGAGGCGATTGAGATAAAAGAGGACATAACAACATAACAATACAGGTCAGAACAGAACAATTTAAGCAACATAGTGTTTCACCACAAGATAACCCGACCTAATAGTAGTTACCATAATGTCTCTTCCCTTGAAATATTTGAGTATAACTTCATATACTATAGCATCAAACATTTCAAGACAGTGTGAAGCCATTCAAGAGAATGAAAGTATTACAGGGTATTTAGAACCAGCTAACAGAAAACGAACAATGGTTTCTATATTATCTCTTTGCCTAGGCATGGCTGGATGGTGTTCACTGTGTAGGACTTTGATATGTGCTGCTGAGGGCATGGGATTCCCAGGTACTAAGGGTCACTGGGTGGGGCCCAACCAGGCCCCAAGGGACCTATCCAAAGATCATCAGCTGATTAGGAGGCTAGGGGGGGCCTACTAGGTTCTGAGTGAGGTGCCAAGTTTGCATGTGTGGATGGGGTTCACTGTACAGGTCATTGGCTTGTGCCACTGACAGCAGGCAACTCCCAGGCCCGAAGGACCTACCCAAAGGTCAGCAGCTGATTCGGTTGCTGGGCAGAGCCCTACCAGGTTCTAGCAAGGTACAGAAGTTGCATGGCTAAATGGGGTTCGCTGTGCAGTAGCTCTTTTTATAAGCTCTATGACCTTGAAAAAAATCACCAAACTGATTTGAATCTCAATTTACTCTTGTAAATTTGTAAGACAAAATTAAATACAAGACTGCATTTAAAGGGACTCTGTATTCCAGATACCAATCAAGGAAGCTAACTTTTAATTTATTGCCATACCATGTTTATCAAAATTTCACCTGAAAGATGAATTATGGATTCATCATTAGAGAACTGGAGAATTGTCCAAAGAATTTAGAGTCCATTCCATCATCTCTCCATTCAGCTGAAAACTTTAAAATCTGTCTCTACATTAATATTATCTCTTTGCCTAGGCATGGCAAATAATCTGTCTCTAAATTATCAGAAAATTCTGTGCCTGCTTGTACACAGTAGCATTCCCATCTAAATTTGTTTTTGAAGTTATATTTTGGCATGATGATGTCAGTGCACATGGAGCAACAATCTAAGTGACAGCCTTATAACACCCTCTTTCCCCTTGAGTGAACCTGCCAGTGAGGATGTTGCTCCATACTTTACAGTGTCCTCTGTAAGAGCACCCAAAGGAGAAATCTTTCTTACTGGCAGTAGTAAGTCTGCTTTTTCTGAGCAATTGCTTTGTTTTACTTCCATAGATCTTGCACGACAGGGAAACAATCATGTTTTGCCATCAGGGCTGCCCAGGAGAGCTCAGCTCCATGCATCCTCCATCTCTGGTGGCAGCATGCAGAAGATGTGTGTGAACTATGTTTCTAACATTCTTTATATTTCTTATTCTTATTGTCTCATTCAATCAATCCTATTTTGAGTGCACTGTGTCTTGTATTTTAAAAGTTGCATTAAAGCATCTTAAAAAAAAATAAAGTAGGAGGCTGGGGATGTAGCTTAGCAGCATAAGTGCCTACCTTGCAAGTGTGTAGTAGTGAGTTCAATCCTCGGTACTGACAAATAAATAAATAAATAAAGTAGGGATGATAAATGATTGGATACCTAAATACAAGTGGGTACTCAAAACAGGGTCTGACTTCCTCTTACTTCTCTCACATATTACTCATGGTCTTCCGAATTGGGAAAAATTTCATATAGCTAACTGCAAGGCAGGAATAGCTGATATTTGCCCGCTCTGATGTCAGTCCTCCTGCATGAAACGCTCCTCAGCATAAGAAATATCAGCGAACCTACACTATTCCCAAGCAACTTCAAGGATACACAGGGTGGTAAAATAAAGCACAAGCATGGAATATGCCCATCTCAAAAGCTTCAGGAGCCTTCAACAGTTATTGTGCATCCCAATGACTAAATTTAAAAGCAAATCATATCGAATTGTTTCTTAACATTCTGGCATATCTAATTATTTCGGGTCTCTAGTAAACTATTTGCCTTGCTCTTCTGCTAGATGTGGTCATACTTCCAAGGCTAATTGTTTCTTGTGTTATCTTAGATATACATATATTTCAGCATTGATTTTTGTATCTCATAAATGTCTTTTTCTTCTTTACATCAAATGCATATGGTACTCCAGTGTGTGAAAGCTCTGGAGTTATTTTAGATCCTATTTCTTATTCTAAGAAAGCTGAATAGTTCTTTTTTATTGTCTAGATTGTCCATATTTTTTCAGTTTTAAGCAACAATATCCATAGCATGGTTAACAGCTGTGTGGAAAATCAGTACATATTTTGGGATTAAAATCCTGGCAAAATCTGATCAGTGTCAAATTGCATTTCATCAAACTCATATGGAACGTTTAGGATTTGGAGTTTCTTTACATAGTTCTGAATTTCAGAAATAATCCCCTGAGAATTTGGCATGATAAGTCTGTCTACCAACCAAAGACATCCTAGCAGGCAATGAAATCCTGGAAGGGCAACTCTGCTGTTTTCATCCACCTGCTCACTTCCAGATAAACAATTTGGCAATGCTGAAGCAACAAAATGGCCACGCCACTAAGTTGAAGGCAGGGTTACTCTGGAGTTTGAGCATGACTCTAGGGCAGAAATGCCTGGCTTGGACCCAGAATTAAGTCCTGAGCTTTGTACTCTACTAGGACAGACTCTCAGTCAGGCCAGACAGTGAGGTCAGACCAGTCACTCTGTCAACAAAGCAAGCTGACAGATAAGTTTAAGAGCTCAACACACCGGGAAAAAATGACATAAAACAACTCAACATACGAATTTCTGATTTTCATCACTAAATAGTATAGGATCCAGTGGTGTTCTATACTTAACAACCAGTTGCATGGAAGAATTTTTAAAAAGCAAGCTCTGATTTACATCATTTGCTTATTTTCACAGAGTAAATGAAGACATACAGCATGGCTGCTTTGAAGCTACCAACATGATGTAGGCTGAGTGTGTGTTGGAGGAGATGCTGTACACGTAATTGGCTCCAGCACACTCCCGCTGGTGCCCACAGAGTCAGCAGACAAGGTTACCAGTGTGAGTATATACAACTTTTCCTCACGGATCCAGCTTAGAGTAGCCCATCTTTTTGGCTCTTCTCATATCCAGGCTCAATGTTCTCTGTCTCTGTTGTGACTTAACATTAGAATCTTCCCCCAAAACTGTCATGTACTCTGATGTAGGAGTTTAGGAAGATGGTCTTGAGGGTGAGGGGAGGACACTCACCAATGGAATCACCCACTCATGACTTCAACAGCTGAGTGTGTTGGGGTCTGGTTACAAGTGAGTCACTGAGGTGCAACCTAGAAGGGGCTTCCGTCTCATTCCTCCCTGTACTCTGCTTCCCGGCCACTATGACATAAGAGTTCTGCTCTGCTGTGCCCTTCTTCCATAGCATTCTTTTGGAATTCTACTTTAATATCTCATATTCTACAACATTTTAACTGTGTTTCTGTCCTTAATGTTACAAGTATATTTTTTTCCAAACAGCAGTTCTCTAACTCTCTGAAGTAACCTGTACAGCCTTGTCCCACTGTTCCACCCAAGCTACCAGCTCAAGAATGCAGTGTGAACCAGAAGATCCACCCCAAATTATTCCACATGGAGTTTCCATCTTTAGAGGCTATCCAACTTCCTTTAAGTTATAAATAAGTGGCCAAATAAAGTATCACCCAAATTGAGACACCTGAAATTGAAGGAAGGCCCTGAAAATAAGTAAGTAAATAAATAAGTAATTGATCTACAATAGGCACAAACTGGGACTGTCTTAGAAGACATATGGTCTCCTTAATTATATTTTTTTGCCATGGGCTACCTTCACTTGCCTTCTCATGCAGAAAATTCCTGCTGGACTCAGTCTGATGTATTCACATAGTAAAGCAGATTCTTGGCTTGCTTGTTGAAATTTCTATTTCTTAACTTTATGCTCCCTCAGGGACTCTTAATACCACAATCCTTCTGTCCCTATGCAGTTTCTATTTTGTTGGTTGTCTATGCCATGGTACAATAGTCTCAGAGCCCAGGCGTGCCATCTGCCTGTGCCTTTCTATATCTCTACCCTCCCTTGGAGTTCCAATTTTGCCCTGGAAGCATGCTGCAAAAGAATTGAAATATTGGTGACTATGGTCCTGTGTTACATTGCAGAAGAGCCAAAAACAGTGGTCCTTGCTGGAAAAGACATTATAGTAATAGAACATAAATATACCATTAAGGCAAAATATTAATTGGAGGGGAAACACATTGAGTGGGGAAGTCAGAGTTAGGTGTATAGAACTCTATACTCTATTTGGGCAATTATGCTGAAAACTAAAGCCATACTAAAAATGAAATCTGGAAATAAAAGATAAGACAGAAGCATCAGGGACTAAGGAGAGAGAAGGAAAGTATTCAGTTTCTGGGGTACAATATTGTGTGACATGTACACGTGAGAAGGAGTTAATAAAGAAGATGCAGATAAAGACTGTGAGTTCAGTGGGAACTGAACAGCATGCGATCTACCGGAAGCCAAGGAAAATAATGTTCAAGGAGGAGGGGGTGATCAGCCATGGTTAGCACTGATGCTGTACCAGAAACCAGGAAGATCGAAATGTTCCAGTGCATTTAGCAAAGCAGAGATCGTCCTCAGTGACCTTGATCAGCAGAGTCTGGGGGAATTCCAGTGAGCAAAGCTCTGACTCTTGTGGTTTTCAGAGGGCTGGGAGAAGAGGGAGTAGAAATGAGTTCAGATAAAACTTTTTAGAAATTTTACTGCAACAGGAAGCAAAGAATTGGACAATATTTCAAGGGCATGTGGAGTTGAGGTTTTTAGGATAGGGAAATTCACAGAATATGTATGTACTGATGAGAATAATCCAGTTGAAAGTGATGAAAAATGATAATAAAAAGAATGAATGGCAAAATCTTGACATGGTTAGTGAGCAGAAAGGAGATGTGGTTCACAAGCACAAGAACTCAGGTAGTATGGATCATTCTCTTCCAACAACAGCATCCGAGAACTCGTATACTGGCACAGATGTGGCAAGTGGGATAATGTACCAGTGGGTGCTCTCAAAAATTCTCTACTTTATTTTCTCAGATAAATAGCAAACATACTTGACAGCTGAGTGTGACAATGGAGAAAAAGTCATTGCAGCTTTGAAGAAACAGAAAAGGCAGAAGTCAACATCCAGGAAGTGGGAGTGTGAAACAGAGCGAGACCGCCAGACAATCCTGAGAGTGAGCCTGAGATAGACAGCATAAATATAAAGTGACAATGGTGAACCTGGTCTTTTGTTTGTTTTCTTGAACAAGTTCAGTTGACTGGGTGCAAGCTGGATGAATCAGGGTTGGACTTACCCAAGATGAACCTTTGCCAGGTGAGTAGACAAGGACAGAAATCTGTTTCTCACAGTGCTGAAGGCTAAAGATCCCAGATTAAGTCTGGCAAGGTTGGTGGCTGCTGAGAGCCTGGTCCCTTTAATTCCAGGCTGGCATCTTGTCATTGTATTCCTCTGAGGGACAAATACTATGTCCTTGCACAGCAGAAGGAGGAAAGGCAAAAGGAGCTGAACACTGCATGAAGCCTCTTTACAAGGGCCAAACTTTCATGAGCTAATCAGTTCCCAAAGACTTTATGTGCTAAAACTTTTAATTTGGGATTGAATTTGAATATACAAATATGGGAGAGATGCATACATTTAAATCATAGTAAGTGGTCTAATCAGAGAAGAGAATGTTAAGGAACTGAGGTATTCAACAAGATCATGTTATCTGTGTGGATATACACATAGAAATCACTAAGAACTGCTGCTGCTCAGTGGTTGATTTTGTGACTTAGACTCATCCACTTGAAAGCTATTAAGGTAGACCTGTTGAGCTCCTTGCTGATGCCAGTTCAGTCACAAAAGTTTCAGAGTTCCTACAGTTTGGCGACAACTAAGAAGCAGATATATTCTGCCTCATGTGTTGTGCATTCCAGGTGCAAACAAAAATGATGACACATTTCACAGGGAAACAGGATTAGGATCAAGGTTGTGGAATTCAACAAATATGAACTGTCAGATGCTGGAGGATTGGCTTAGTAGTAGAGACCTCAGGGTCAAAATACTCAAGTTTCCTGGAACTAGAGATTCCAATCTCAAAAGCTTCAACTCAGTCCTTCACCTTTTGAAGGCAGATAAATTGGTTAGCACAGAATTGATTGGCTAGGGTCTTTCAGATGACATCTTAAGACCAAAAGCTCCCTCTGCTTTCCTGGGACATCAGATAATTCATGGCTTTTTTTAGGAACACAGATTGACATTACATTTGGCTGATATTAAAGTGTACACTGAAAGAAATAGAGACATTGATTTTAACCTAGAATGTATGCAAGTATAATACATCCCTAGAAGTAAAAAGACAAAGCAGTAATAAAGCAAAGAAGTTCTATAATCCTGGTTCACTCAATCATTTAGACTCCAATATGTACAACATAGATGAGTAAATCAAATGTAGCAAAATGTCAACCCTTAAAGAGTGAGATGGGTTTTCTAGGGCCAGAACAAACATTTGACTTCAATAAATAACATCATTGTAAGCATTGTTAGAGTTGTTAGTGATTATCATTATATTCTAATAAATTACTTCAGGGCAGCAATCAAACTAGATTGTTGTCTTAGTTATTTTTCATCATAGTCACATGGTCTCAAATTAAAATTATCAACTGAAGCATATCCACTACATATGTGTGCAATTAGAGAATCAGAATTCAAACTGCTTGCATAGGCATTATCTAATTAATAAAAAATTGATCCATATAACTGTAAACTTTTCATGGTAAAGAAATTTAATACAGTATATGCAAAGTTTGAAAAGTACATCAACCAGGTACCAAGCAAATTTTGCAATTATAAAGATACTCTAGGCATTAGGCAAATTATACTTAAATTGAAGGCAGACCTTACCCATAAAGGTTACTTGTAATTGTTTCATGTAGCGTGAGGAAAATGTTACAGATTGCAGGTAAAAATTATATTCAATAATGGCTTATCTTGTACATGGCTTTGTTCATATTTTGCATTGTCCTATAACATAAAGGAACCCACTGTCAGACTTTTTCTTTCATCAGTTTCTGTCATGAAAGTTGAACCAGTTTTCTAAGTAAGAAGTAGCTTCAGATCTGTAAAGTAAATGGTTAGTTACTGAATATGCTTAATCAGGTTGAGTCTAACTCTCTTCTTCAATAAATTCTGGTCTAGAAAAGTTTATGAAGTCAATATGAAAATATTTCAGTGAGAACATTTCATCCCAACAAATACAGATTAAATGGTGGTCAGGATTCAGCGGTGCTAAAGACAGTCTGCCTTCTTTTTGATCTAGACTTTGCAACAGTGACAGAATTCACAGCCTATAGAATAAATGTCAGGTACTCGGAAAGTTTAGGTTTGTCAGAAAGTAATTATCACCTATTGTTCCATTTATAAGGTCAATAAATGTCTATTTATAAAACAAAGCATGTGAGGATGAATATTGTCTCACACTCACACAGATTCCGCTTTAGAACTAAGGGGAACCTTGATATTGACTGGGATATGCAGGCCTTTAGGGTAAAATAATGTTTGATTGCACAAAGTATAAATGGTATTGTTTTTTATAGTCAGTCCCATTAAATTCAGTTTTCTGTTTTTTCAGATCTTAGCACACTGCTCCCATCACAACACACAGTGCACCAAAGTTGCCCCTAGTATATTTCTGTGCCATCTGAAAGTGAAGAGTCCTGAGCCAGAGACAGAGAGGGGACCTCACCAGCATGTTGGTTCAGTGTGGATGCGGTGGAGTCATCGGAGTGGCTTTCAGAGCAATGTTTCCAGGTAAGAGGAGATTTTATTACTCGGTACATGTTCAGATTCTTGGTACAACCAGTGCTTCCTTTCCAGCGCACAGTTCCCCTTTGATGGTACATAAACACAAGAAAAATAAAAATATTCTATAGTTGTGGATTACTTTTCCTTTACAGTTAAAATTACTAGTTATGAACAATTTATTTACCTTCCTCACATCCATGAAACTATAAAGAGATATTATTAATCTATATTTTATGCAGAAAACAGAATTTTAGGATTACTAGTACCAGGTCATTTGAAAATACACTTCAGACCCCCAAAACACCTTGCTTGTTCCTTTGCCTGTCAAATAAGGTATTCTTCAGCTCTAATTCAAATAACCTTACATATTTTCTTAGGGAACAATGGTGAATTACTGGAAGTGATCTTTTAAAATATCCACTGATAAACTATACCATTGCCAATTCTATGTGTTAGAATACTCACCCAGGCTCAGGCTAAGGTATAGCACTCTTCAGGTTGTCTTGTTTCTGAGAGATATTTGAT